ACAGTGAAGCCATCTGGGCCAAAGTTTTTCTTTATGGAAAGTTTTTATATTACTAATTTAATCTTTGCTTCTTCTTGAGACACTTTAGGTGGTTTGCATCTTTTTAGGAATTGGTCCATTTCATGTAGGTTATCTAATTTGTTGGCATACAATTATTCATAATATTCCCTTATAATTATTTCTGTTTCTGTAAAGCTGACAGTGATGTCTCCTCTCTCATTCCTGTTTTTAGTAACTTTGGGTTTTACCTCTGTTTTTCTTGGTGAGTCTAGCTGACTAATTTTCGATTTCATTGATTTTCCCCATTCTTTTTCTATTCTCTCTTTCATTTATTTCCACTCGCATCTTTATTATTTCCTCCCTTCTGCTTGCTTTAAGTTTCCTCTCCTTTTTCTAGTTTCTTAAGGTGGAAGGCTAGCTATGAACTTGAGATCTTTCTTCTTTTTTTTTTTTTTTTTGCGGTACTCGGGCCTCTCACTGTTGTAGCCTCTCCCGTTGCGGAGCACAGGCTCCGGACGCGCAGGCTCAGCGGCCATGGCTCACGGGCCCAGCCGCCCCGCGGCATGTGGGATCCTCCCGGACCGGGGCACGAACCCGTGTCCCCTGCATCAGCAGGCGGACTCCCAATCACTGTGCCACCAGGGAAGCCCCTCTTTCTTCTTTTTTAATACAGGAATTTACAGCTGTAAATTTCCTTCTAAATATTAACATAGCTGCATCCTATAAGGTATTTTCATTCATTTCAAAGTATTTTCTAATTTCCATGTGATTTCTGCTTTGATCCATTATTATTTAGGATTATGTTGTTTAGTTTCCCACATTTCCTTCTGTTATTGATTTTTAATTCATTCCACTGTGGTCAGGGGATAGTCTTAGTATTTCATTCCTTTTCACATTTTTACTGAGACTTGTTTTATGTCCTAACATCGTCTATCCCAGAGAATGTTCCATGTACACTGAGAAGAAAATGTATTCATTCTGCTGCTGTTAAGTGGAGTGTTGTGTAGATGTCTGTTAGGGCTGGTGGTTTATAGGGTTGTTCATTTCTTCTATTTCCTTGTGATCTTCTGCCTCGTTATTCTATCCTTAATTGAAAGTGGGGTATTAAAGTTGCAAACTGTTGCTGAATATTCTGTTTCTCTCTTCAATTCTGTTTCATTTTGCTTCATCTGTTTTCATTGTTATGTCTTCCTGATGTTATGTCTTTTTAAAAAAATATTTATTTATTTATTTATTTGGTTGTGCTGGGTCTTAGTTGCAGCAGGCAGGCTCCTTACTTGCAGCTCACCGGTTCCTTAGCTGTGGCATGTGAACTCTTAGTTGTGGCATGCATGTGAGACCTAGTTCCCTGACCAGGGATTGAACCTGGGCCCCCTGCATTGGGAGCGTAGAGTCTCAATCACTGTACCACCAGGGAAGTCCCGGATGTTAAGTCTTTATTAAACAGGACTTTCAACCAATCATCCTTTGTACCATGTTTACCCTCTGCTTGCAGGGAGAACTGGTGCGGACAAATCTTGGGCCTTTTCAGGCTCCTTGGTACATGGTCACTTACTTTTTTCACTTTCCCCACTGCCAGCCTAGCAGCCTTATTGAGTCTGTTCAATGAGTGATTACAGTCTTCCTTCTGCTTGCCCACTTTCAAAATATTACTGCTGTTGTCACTTTTCTTTGCTGTCTTTGTCCTTATGAGTTTATGGCTTATAAAGAAAAAAATTTACTGTTATTTTTATGATTTTTCTGGAGGGAGTAAAGCTGTACTTTAATCCAGTATCTTTAACTGGAAGTTTCAACGACCATGGTCTTTCCACCGCATAGTGCTAGGTAGAGTAGGTACTTACCTGAAGACAAAGGATGCTTGGTTTTGACCGTAGACCTTAAAAACCAGTTCGCCGAATTTACAAAATTCCATGCTAAGTGCTCTGGGAGAGACAAATGTATATAAGATATGGCCCTGCTTCTCCAGGAGCTCACTCTGTGGAGAGATGAGATATACAGAAATACTGCTATGGCACATGTAAAAAGGGATAAGTAATAAGAACTATTGATACCTTTCACTGAACGTCTGCAGATTTCAGACAGACGTGTTATGTACATTAAACAATTCAATCTAATAATCTCATAATGGGAATTGTATTATTCCCACTTTACAGGTGAAGAATGAATTGTTTTATACAAGGCCAGCAGCTAATAACATATCAAGGGAGATTTGAAGCCACGTGTGTCTAACTCTGAAGCTTTCCTCTTTCTACCATGTCAGGGTATCTTAGGAGAGGCCCTGTTAGGGACCTAGAGGAATTCAAAGGCAGGAGAGGATCAAGGAAGGCTTCAAGGTGGAGGCATCCCAGCTGGGCCTTGAAGGATGGATAAAATTCAACATTTTAGATTTTGGGGGGAAGGGGAATCATTCCAGGAAGGGGGAATAAGTTTGCTCAAAAGCCAAAGAGGAAGGAATTATAAGATGCATTTGGGGATTTTAAATAACCTGGTGGGAGACTTAGTGTAGGATACCTGCGGGAGGTTAATTAGCCAAAACAGCGCCTGACCTGGAAGAATGAGGCCCTGAGGTGTTTGCATTGGAATAGGGGAAAGCTAAGAAGAGAATTTTAATGATTTTTGTAAAGTAAGAACATCCTCACAACATATATATAATGTGTGTTTAGTTAAAAATGTGTGAGGTCACAGACAGTGGGTTGTCACAAGGCTGAAGAGTTCATTTAAAATTTAAGCAAGCAAACACATGTATATGGAATCTAAAAAAAAAAAAAAGGTTTTAATGAACCTAGGGGCAGGACAGGAATAAAGACGCAGACGTAGAGAATGGACTTGAGGACACAGGGAGGGGGAAGGGTAAGCTGGGACGAAGTGAGAGAGTGGCATGGACATATATACACTACCAAATGTAAAACAGATAGCTAGTGGGAAGCAGCTGCATAGCACAGGGAGATCAGCTCGGTGCTTTGTGACCACCTAGAGGGGTGGGATAGGGGGTGTGAGAGGGAGATGCAAGAGGGAGGGGATATGGGGATATAGGTATACGTATAGCTGATTCACTTTGTTGTACAGCAGAAACTAACACAACATTGTAAAGCAATTATACTCTAATAAAGATGTTAAATAAAAATAAAATTTAAGCAAACAAATGCTTGTATTGCTCTTATTGCTTTGAAATGAAAGCAAGTAAGTTTTCTGAACGTTAATAATCTCATCTTCTCTAATAAGAAAAAAACCCCACAGTGATATCCCCTTTCTTATCTATCAAATTAGCAAAAATCAAAAAGTGATCATTTGTACTAGCAAGCATGTGGGAAAACAGGTAGTATAAATAACTGAGATGGCTCCATATACCCTGATAAGGGATGACGACCTCTGCCGTACTTTTAAGTGGAAAAGCACAGTGTAGAACGGTACGTGTAGCAGACTACACTTTTGTGTTTTAAAAAAATGTGAGTGGGAGGTGCAATTTATACGTAACAGCTTTTCCTGAGAAGTTCCATTAGCACTTAAGCCAGTTTTACCCCTTTTATACCAATATCATTCCTTCTCTTTTTTTTAATCTCAAACTTTGCTGCTCAAGTTCCCCTTCAGACTTTCAAGGGGGAGCTGGATAGGTCATTTCATCTCTAATTGCCATGTGGTTCATTTGTTGTTCACTTTTCTTAGTATCTTCAGCATTTATCACGTTTCCTTGGAATGGCTCCAGTGCCCTTTAGTTTCAGGTAGCCTCTGATCCAGTTGGTAAGTTTCCTACTGTATTCTTGGCTCACTTTACCCATATAGTAGTGAGAATGCAAATACACATTCTCCTTATCTCTGTTTCTCTACAAGGCTTGCTGGTGGTGACCTTTATACACTGCTTTAGATTTACTGACTCTCACTATCCCTGATACATTTCTTTCCTCCAGTGTAAACACCTTCCGTTCTGCTTAAAGCTATTTACTGCGGGGAGGGGGGGGTGGGGGTGGTGGTGGTGGTGGTGGTTGTGTGTATACATATATGTACATATATGCTTATGTACACAAAAACCTAGCAACTCGTTCTGGTGGCCTCCAAGAAGACCAGCAAAATAGGGACCACTGGACAATGGGCAGTGGAGAGGGAGATTCTCTTTTTACTGATAGACCGTTTTGTTTCTCTTGAATTTTATACAGGGAATATAGCCAATATTTTATAATAACTTTAAATGGAATATAATCTATAAAAATTTTGAATCACTGTGTGGTACAACTGAAACTAATACTATATTATAAATCAGTCCTACCTCAACAAAAAAAATAGTATTGGTAATAAGAGTAAATAAATGATAAATTGACTTAATAAAGTGTTATAAATGGAATGTAATATATAATTCTACAATGTATATTATTAAATGATAGTATATAAATAGATATTATACCCATTATATTGATGAAGATACAGATAAGTTAATTATGCAGATTTATAGCTAATAAGAGAGATGTTACTTTCCACTTATTTTATACTTTACAGTCCATATAACTTTTCTTATTTAATTTTTAAAACAGCCCTGGCAGGTAGCTGGTTATTATCTTTATTTTACAGACACTCTATTTTTATGAGAATGGCAGAACATGAATAAGACACAAATAATGAAACTAGGCTTCTGAATGGTTAGGTGACCTAAGTTTCACATCTAGTGAAACTTGAATCCAAGTTTAGTGCAGTTTCCTCTGTGCTGCAGAGGAGGGTGTTCAGAGCATGTCCCCCAATTTCTGTGCTTGATTTGGAGTTGATTACCGACCTTTTCCATCATAGATTCTTTGGTGCCCTCATTCAACACAGAATATGGCACTGAACCAGTCTGCTGCAAATAAAAAAGAAGCCATTCAGCCTACCAGTACATAAATAGGCCCCCCAGGCTCTGCCCCATCTCCCATCATGGGCAGGGAGCTTTGGCTTTGGGCATTGAGAATGCAAACCAAACAAGACAGACTTGTACTGTAGCTCAGAAGTTCACCTGTGTCTTCTTTTCATTGTTCTAGGAAGAGTTGCAGGCCAACCTGGACCTGATTCAGACCTATAGACTGCATATTGCCCAAGATATCAACCAAGAAAACCTGCAGCTCTTCCTGGGTTCCTATAATGGGTACAGTTGTTTCTATTCCTTCCCTTAAATGCAGACTAGGTCTAAGAAGATAACGGATATTTAAGAGAGAAGGAGAAGAGGAAATAAACTACTCCTTCCAGTGTTGTGTGATGGGACTGCTTTCGTACTTTTCACCACAGTAGAAGGGGAAGGGCTTTCAGACAGAAATGAAGACAGCTTTCAAGAGCAATGCATGAAATTGAAGGCTGTTTCAGGCATGTTCAACCACCAGTTGTACTTCTAAGATGTTTTGAGACCAGAAGTACCTAAAGTGATGTACACACACAAAACACACAAATTGAGGTGGCACAGAAAGAGGCATGTAGGTGAGGCAAAGAATAGAAGTCTTGGGCCCCAATTCAGTCTCTCTGCTGGTGTCCTGCCATCACGCAGAAGTGACACATGGGGAGAAGCTTAATTCTTATCTTGGGACCAGCTTCTCCAAGGTGAAAATGTTAGCTCCTTCTATCTTTCTGGGTACATGGAAAAAGATTAAGGAAATGGGTCAGCTGTAACTTACCCAGAGTCACACAGCCGGTCAGGAGCAAAGCCACGTTTTGAACACAGTCTCTCTAGCTCCTTCCTCTGTGGAACAAAGCCTCCTTATTTTTTGTTGAAATCAGAAAGGTTATTAAGTACTGCACTGAACTGTTAGTTACCAGGAGAATGTTCCCCCAAAAAAGTTCCCCTTGGACCTCCATGGCGGTCCAGCACTTAAAATTCTGTGCTCCCAATGCAGGGGGCACAGGTTGGATCCCTGGTCAGGGAAGATCCTGCATGCCACGTGGTGTGGCCAAAAAAAAAAGAAAAAAGTTCCCCTTAAGAAATTATTCCTATAAACTAGTTGGAAAATTGAACACTTAAGACTTGAGGATTTCAACAGCATTGCTATTGAGTTTTGAAGTTGCCTCCTTTTAGCATCCTGCAGAGTTCCTTTTTCCTGCTCTGTACCACTCAGGATGCCACTGAACAAAGTGCACAAGGGCCCCTTCCCTCATCTGTGTGAAGGAAAGATAGTTTTCAGATTTCTTGATACATTTTGTTTTTCACAACCAGGAAGTAACCTGAGTTGCCATGATTTTACCTGAAAAGTGCATTGATTGCTTTGTGTTTCTCTAGACGCAGAGACCTGGAGATCGAAAGACCCATTCTGGGACAAAATGATAACAAATCAAAGACATTAAAGTAAGTCCCTCAGTCTCCCCCACTACGTTGCTCAACATCTTTGCCTTGCATGGACAGAGTCATTTTCAGTGGAGTATATGTGCTGCTTGCTGAGTGTCCTCTTATTTTCCCTCTCCCCAGGTGTTCTACTTTATTGGTGGTAGGTGACAATTCACCTGCAGTTGAGGCTGTGGTAAGTATGTCCTGATGTTGTGAAGATGAATAAGATGAAATGCAATAAATTGTGTGTAACACACTCTGCTGATGTACTCGAAACAGTTGGTAGGTACTAGTTTTTGTGATTTCTCATTACACAGACCAGGGTTTGCACTTTGTTACCCAGTGTGGAGGAAGAATTCCTCGTTGATCCCTGTGTTTCATCAGAAGGGTTCAGGACTGCCCTTGAGTGCTTTGGGTGGTGGAGCTCGCTCTGTGGCAAGCAGGACAGGTAAAGGCCACTGGCTTATCGTCAGACTTCTGACAGCCTTGGCCTTCTGCAGCCACCACAGATGTAGAAGGCTACTGGGAGCCTGTATACTTTCCTCAAGCATGTAGCACACTGGCAAAAAAAATATGTGCTCATTGTAGAAAATTGGTAAATAGGAGGACAGGAGGAGAAGTCATGATCCCATTACTCAAAGACAAGCCATTATGTTTTTCTTTACAATAGATGGGATGATATTAGCTATACAGTGTTTTGGGACCTCATGACTTAGCACTGTTGAGAGCATTCTTCCATACTATAAAGTCAGTATGTCTGTATAATATTCAGTCTTATAAATATACCCTTGTTTATGTAAACCCCATCCTCCTGTTGATTATTTCTGACTTTGCACCATTAATAATGTTGCTGTTGAACATCCTTATAGAACCTTTGCCTGAATCTTTGATCATTTCCCTGGGATGAGATGGAAATAATGTGTCAAAAATCATAAACCTCTGTAAGGTTTTTAATACATTTTGCCAGATTCCTTTCCAGGAAAGACATAACAGTGTGTTGCCACTGCCTATGTATGAGAGTGCCTGTTTCACAGCATGCTGTTCAGCATTGGACTTTTAAATTTCATTAGTAGTTAATTTGGTTAAAAATGGTATCCCACTGTTTTAATTTGCACTTCCGTAATTACAGATGAAGCTGACAGTTTTTCATAAGTCTGTTATCACTTGCTTGTCTTTCCCACAGCATATTACCACTTAAGTATCTGCGTGAAATTATCTGGTTTTCTTTGGCCTACTTCACTTCTACCCTATTTAGAGCAAAACATTAGGAAGTAAAGCTTTTAGAAAGGGAATCTAATAATTAATCAGAGATGCAGACATAGATGAGAAGCTTGGTGGGCAGGGGGAGTGTTGGTAGGGTGAGACAGGTATGACAGTAGAATATATTCACACTTTCCTGAATTACCCTGTTAAACAGTCTGTGTCTAGTGTAAAATACATAATGTGGCTTGAGCACAGAGGAAAATAACTCTCAACTCAAAAAAAAAAAAATCCCCAAAGGTAATAAAGTTGTAGTGATTGTAAAGGTCCGTCTTTTTTGGCTACAAAGGTAGAGATACATGCTACAAAATATCAAAAACATTTTTTCATGAACATGTGTTTATGAAAATAGTATCGTTTATAGAAAACACCCTTAATCAGAATTCTCTAATCATGCTGAGCTGCCTTTTGGAAATTACATGGACTTAAAGCAACATTACCAATTATTTTTCAAGATTGTGTAAGTTGGCCAATACAGATAAGATCTTTTTCTCTTTCTGATTTCCACACCTTCAGTGTTTATAGAGAAGAACTTCAGGAATGC